GCCACCAGCCGCCTTGTTGGGTGGCGGTGTGCTTTGATTGCGTTTGGACCTCGTTTGAGATGCATGAAACCCTAATGGGCCTAGTGAAACCCTAATGGGCTTAAGGATTTAGCTTTTGGGCCTAATTGGGTTGTGAGGGGTTAGAAACCCTAATTTTGGATATATGGGCTTTGGATCAATCGGGACCCACACTAGAATTGTTTATTAAATTAAAATATTAATTAATAACCATTTGCAATTAACCTAAGGCCATGTGGGACTTAATGGGTTAAGTAGGGACACTTAACCCTAATCGTCATTTTATGTGAAACCCTAATTTCACTTGGACTTTGAGTTGGGCCTTCTTATTGGGCCTTGGTGATTGGGATAATATTGGGCCATCCAAGAGCAAGCAAATGGACTTAGGGTAAAGCCCATGTAAGGGGTTTGGCCCAATTTGGAAAATTGGGCCATAGATGGGCCATAGTTTGGGCCTTGATGATTACGAGATTTTAGGCCATCAGAATGTCAAGTGTGGGACCAAGAATAAATGGTTGGGCCTTAAGGCAAGACCATGTAAGGGTTTGGGCCCAATTTGGATAATTGGGCCATAGATGGGCCATAGTTGGGCCTTGGTTCATTATTAGACTTTTGGGCCTTTTGATTGGGCCTTGAGCTTGAATGGGGTAAAGCAGTCTTTTACCCCAAACATGGACTTATGGGTATATGTGTTGGAACCCAATTATTAATTGGGTGTTATTTTGATGTTGACAGATTCGAGAAGCTGTCATCCAGCAGCTAGGGTTTTGTCAGCGGGACTTCAGCAGTGAGAGGTGAGTTTTCCTCCAGTAGGAACGGGTCTAAGGCACCAATACCGGCCCGTTTAAGTAGTAGAGTATGTCGGGGTGAGCCCGATGCCGGGGTTAGCCCGATGCAGTTTATATGTTTCCGGACTTCGGTCCAAGGCCGGGGAGGTCCCGAGAAGTAGTTATGTATGCTTGATGTCTTTGTGATTCATGCATATTTATGTGTTATGTGTTATGTATTCCGGACTCCGGTCCGATGCCGGGCAAGCCTGATGCAGTATATGTCATTATGTTATATGTTATGTGTTCCGGGGAAAGCTCGATGCCGGGGCAAGCCCGATGTATGTTAGTCATTATGTCATGTATTATGTATTTCGGGGCAAGCCCGATGTATGCTAGTTTATGTGTTATATGTTGTTGTTCCGGGCTTCGGTCCGATGCCGGGGCAAGCTCGATGCAGATTATGTGATTATGTTATGTAAGTGCCGGGGTAACCCCGATGCTGGGGCAAGCCCGATGCCGGGGTGAACCCAATGCCCGATGCGGTCGGATGTCGGGGTGAGACCGATGTCGGACAGGAGTCCGATGTCGGGTAAGCTGATGCCGAGATTCGTCCCGATGCAGTTGGGAGTAGTCCCAGAGTTATGTTATTTGTTATATGTGCTTTGTATGGTATGTGGTAGTATGAGGAGACTCACTAAGCTTCGTGCTTACAGTTTTCAGTTTTGGTTTCAGGTACTTCAGTTTTCAAAAGAGGAGCTCAGGAAGGTTGCAGTGCACCCACCATTTGTTCAGCCTGGGATGTTTATACTCTGATATACATGACAGTTGTTATAGTATTTTGAGCTACACTGTTTATGATTTTTATATGACGTATGATGACTATGGTTTTTATTGTTAAATTAAAACGAAATTTTTAGACTGTGTTTTTGGGATGTTTCAGATATTCTGGGGGAGATCCCAACTTAAGATATTCTGGGGAAGATCCTAACTTAAGATATTATGGGGAATACCCCAACTTAAGATATTATGGGGAGGATCCCAACTTAAGATAACATGACAATGTTATAAACCGTAGATTAAACTTTAAGATCTTAACATATCTTAAGAAATAAGAGGGTTGCCTAGTCACTAAGGCATGAAATGATCCTTTTATTCACATCCCATAGTTAGATATCGTGCGTCCAAGAGAGGTGTAGAAACCTAAACACATATGAAAGAGGTTATTAACTCTTTAAACCTTAGAGAGGATTAAGTACCCTTGATCGGAGGAGAGATGATCAGTCTCTATTAGTAGCGGCTAGGTTCCTTGAATTTCTGCATGTTAAAAATAAATATTAGCATGGGGCGAGCGTTATCCTGGCTAACGCCCCTCCGATACTTAAGTCAATAATGATCTTAAAGAGAGAAATTTAATAAAAAGGGAAAGGTGAAGGTAGGGAGTGGTTGCGTACCTTGTCCTTTCCATAATGAAATATCATGACTTTGACTTACATGAAATATGCCTTGAGATATATTGCATTCCATGACCCTGGTAAGCGGTTTCCTTCTATAGTAGCCAACCAATATGCCCCCTCTCCTGCTTCTGAATCAATGAGATAGGGGCCTTCCTATTTAGGTGCTAGCTTACCATCTTTAAGATCCTTGGTGTTTTGGAATGTTTTTCCTACAACCAATTCACCTACTTGGAATCTTTAGATCTTAATATTCCTATTGTAGGCTTTAACAATCCTTTGCTGATGAGTTGCAATATAGATCTTGGCCAGGTCCCTTATTTGATCAATGGTGTTAAGATCCTCAACTAGGATCCTATCGCTATTGTCTTGAGTTTGGAGTTGGTATCTTGCCGTTGGGATCACTACTTCTGTGGGGATCATGGATTCCGATCCAAACACCAAGGAGTATGGGGTTTGTCCTGTTTCCGTTTTAGCAGTGGTTCTATCTGATGGGTTTTGAGCATTCTAACACTCCTATGGTGTACATGCAACCCTAGAAACCTTGGATCTATGTTTTATCTATTATACATGCAAATATTCATTTTCCGAGGTTTTCATCCTAACTAGCTTATCATGGGGTACTTGTAATATAAAAACTAGTAGAATGACATTCCTTTTCTTATGGTTGATTACTTGGAGCTTCAAGAGCCTAGCACCAATAATGTGAATGCCTCAAGTGGAATCACAAATCACCAAAACAACTTGGAAGACTTTGAAAGAATATGAAGCACTCTAGAAATCGGCCTACTCTTGTTAACTCACACACTAGTGCCAATTTCAAATGCCAAGGACTCTTTTATATAATATGGTGGATTAGGGTTACATCCATGTAAACCCTAATACCCATGACCTTTCATTTCCATA